CTATTATTACCCAGTCATGACTAACCTGTAATATTTTATACAAAGTAGGGGCAAGTTCGATTGATGTGCCAAAAAACATGTACTATAGATACTGAAAAATGACAGGCCATTAGGAAGAGGGAGATCAATGTCAAAAGGAAATATGAGTAGATTCTACAAATAAGTGAGATCAAACCCAATAGAAACCTGACAATTCATTTGAAAAAAAAATGTCATTACCACCTTGAAATGTTTGCAGACATAGACGATATAAAACTTAAAATGTGCATTCAAGCTTGATTAAATATTAGACCATTATGAGAGATTTGTTATCCATATCAAGAAAATCACTTGAGTCATGAGACTATACCTCCTAAATAGAGCTTTGATGGTGGCAGATCTATATAGTTCTAAAAATAGGACCCTGTTTTTAAAGGGGCATGTGATTATGGGTAAGAGTTTATCCCAATTAAATACCATATGTTAGAGGCCTTCCCGGAGCGGTGGTAGCAAATTATCAGAAACTTGGTGGCTTAAAATGACATAGATTTATTCTCTCGTGGTTCTCAGGGCCGGAAGTCTAAAACCAAGGTGTCTGCAGGGCCACACTCATTCCAAAGGCTCTAAATAAAAACCCTTCTTTGCCTCTTCCAGCTCCAAGTGGTTGCTGGCACTCCTTGGTGTCCTTGGCTTGTAGCTGTGTAACTCCAGTCTTAAAAATATTTACAAAAGTAGGGTTAGGGTTATGTTAACTATATAAATAAAAATTTTAAATTTGTGTTTTAATTTTAATACAGTAAATGTCAATACAAAAAAAACACACGAAAACAAATGCTCTTTGAGATTCTCTATGCTTTTTTTTAAGAGTTAAAATAATCCTGAGACCAAAATCTGAGAACTAACAAGTTAAGAGAATTTGATTTATATATTTTCATGTCTGATTTATTAATGACATAGAAGTTTCCTAAGAACCTCAGACAGTCTTCCTTGTTAGATTTGTAATTCTGTCTTTTGAAGTATTTGAGAGAACCATATTTTTTCCTGTGTAATTGAAATATTATAAGACATGTCTGAAGTATATAAGTAGTGTTATCTAAGGTAAATCGATTTGCATTTACAAATTAATTAAATATTCATTAAAGAATCAGTGACAATTGTTCATATTTTTGTATAGAATTTATTAGTTTGATTTTATAAATTTAATGATAAGATTTTTTGCAAATGAGATTGCTTTCTTGATTTCTCTTCTTGCTAGTTCATTGTTGGTGTATAGAAACTTATTAATTTTTGTATGTTGATTTTGTATCTGGAAGCTTTACTAAATTTATCAGTTCTAAGAGTTTAAATAATTTAAATAATAAAGGGTATATTTTTAAAAGTTTAAATTGAACTTTTAATAAGTAACATGTTATTTACAACACAAATAAGCATAGTAATTCTATGCATGATAGAAATTTAGATATTAAAATATATTTCTAAAACCCATTAACAGGTGTTAGGGGCATAGAAAACTAAGAAAATAGGACACAGGACAGACACATTTTGATAAAGTGCCAGGAACTATCAGAAGTGTCTCCAGGAAGGACCCAATAATTAGCATCCTTAGGGTTGGGGTTGTCAAGGAGGAGGTGTCACAAAGCCCTTAGTAAGGGCAGGGAAATTCTAGAGAGGAAGAAATCCCAATGGAGGCCAAGGACATTAGGGATAATCTTTATCATCCTCTTAAGTATTAATCCCTTATCAGATAAATAGTTTGTAAATATTTTCTCCCATTCTGTAGGTTGCCTCTTCACTCTGTTGATTGTTTCCTTTTCTGCTCCAAAGCATTTTAATTTGATATAATTCCATTTTTCTATTTTTGTTTTTGTTGCCTGTGCTTTTGAGGTCATCTTCATAAAATCTTTACCCAGACCAATATCCTGATTTCCCATACGTTTTCTTCTAGTAATTTCATAGTTTAGGGTCTTACACTTAAGCCTTTAGCCCATTTTCAGTTGATTTTTATATGCTTCTGCATATGGTTATCCAACTTTTTATTACTGATTCAATCTCGTTACTGATTAATGATTTAATTACTCTTAATTGTTCTGTTCAGGCTTTCTATTTCTTCTTGGTTCATTCTTGGTAGGTTGTATGTGTTCAGGAAATTTTCTATTTCCACTAGGCTTTCCAATTTGTGGGCATATAGTTGTTCAAAGCAGGTCAAATAATTATTTGTATTTCTTTTTCTTTATTTCAATAGCTTTAGAGGTACAAGTGGTTTTTGGTTACATGAACCCACTGTGTAGGGGTAAAGTGCGGGCTTTTAGTGTATCCTTCACCCAAATAGTGTACATTGTACCTAATAGGTAATTTTTCATTCCTCACTCTCTCCCCCACTCCCCTCTTCTGTGTCTCCCATGCCCATTATACCACCCTGTGTGCCTTTGCATACACATGGCTTAGATCCCACTTATAAATGATAATTTGCAATATTTCATTATCTGTTCCTAAGCTACTTCATGTAGGATAATGGTCTCCAGTTTCATCCAAGTTGCTACAAAAGACATTATTTCATTTATTTTATGGCTGAGTAGTGTTCCATGTTGTAAACATATACCGCATTTCCTTTATCCAGTTGTCAGTTGATGGGTATTTAGGTTGATTTCGTTATCTTTGCAGTTGTAAATGGTACTGTGATAAACATACACATACAGATGGCTTTTTGATATAATAATTTGTTTTACTTTGGGTAGATACCCAGTAATGAGATTACTGAATTGAATCACAGATCTGCTTTTAAATATTTCTTAAATCTCCATACCATTTTTCCATAAAGGTGGTACTAATATACATTCCCACCGGCAGTGTGTAAGTATTCTGTTTTTACTATATTTGCACCAACATCTATTGCTTTTGACTTTTTAATGATGGTTCCTCTGGCTGGAGTAGAATGGTATCTTATTGAGATTTTAATTTTTAATTTCCCTGATGATCAGAGATGTTGAGTATTTTCTCATGTGTTTGTTGGCTATTTGTATATCTGCTTTTGAGAAATGTGTGCTCATTTCACTTGGCCCGTTTTTAGTGGGATTATTTATTTTCTATTGTTGATTTGTTTGAGTTCCTTGTAGATTCTGGATATTAGTCCTTTGTTAGATGAATAGTTTGTAAATTATTTCTCTCATTTTGTAAGTTGTCTGTGTAATCTATTAATATATATCTTTTGCTGTGCAGAAGCACGTTAGTCTAATTAGGTCCCATTTATGTATTTCTTTATTTTGTCACATTTGTTTTTTACCTTAGTCATAAATCCTTTGCCTAGGCCAATGTTCAGAAGAGTTTTTCCTAGGTTTTATTCTAGAATTTTTATAGTTTCAGGTGGTAGATTAAAGTCTTTAATCTAGCTTGAGTTAATTTTTGTATATGGTGAGAAAGAAGGATCCAGTTTCATCACTCTACATGTGTCTATCCAATTTTCTCAGCACCGTTTATTGAATATGGTGTCCTTTCCCCAGCATGTTTTGATCTGCTTTGTCAAAGATCAGTTGGTTGTATGTTTTTGACTTTATTTCTCGGTTCTCTATTCTTTTCCATTGGCCTATGTGTCTACTTTTATACCAGTAGCATACTGTTTCGATTACTATAGCCTTAGAGTATAATTTGAAGTCAGATAATGTGATGCCTCAAGATTCATTCTTTTTGCTTAGGATTGCTTTGGCTTATCAGACTCCTTTTTGGTTCCATATGAATTTTAGAATTGTTTTTTCTAATTCTGTGAAAAATGATATTGGTAGTTTGATAGTAACTACATTGATTGTAGATTGCTATGGACAGTATGATCCCTTTTCACAATATTGATTCTTCCAATTCATAAACATGGTCTGTGTTTCCATTTGTTTGTGTCATCTATGATTTCTTTCATCAGTATTTTGGAGTTCTCCTTGCAGAGATCTTTTGCCTTCCTGGCTAAGTATATTCCTAGGTATTTTATTCTTGTCGTGACTATTGTAAATGGGATTGAGTTCTTGGTTTGATTCTCAGTTTGATTATTACTGGTGTATAGCAGTATTACTGATTTGTGTACGTTGATTTTGTAACCTGAGACTTTACTTAATTCATTTATCAAATCTAGAAGTCTTTTGGAGGAGACTTTAGGGTTTTCTAGGTATGAGATCATGTCATCAGCAAACAGAGATAGTTTGACTTCCTCTTTTCCAATATGAGTGCCTTTTATTTCTTTCTCTTGCCTGATAGCTCTGGCTAGGACTTCAGATTATTTCCATGGTAACCACTGTACTGTCTCCTTTTTTGTTTCAGACTATATTTATTTGGGTCTTCTCTCTTTTTTTTCTTGGTTAGTCTAGCTAATGGTTTGTTGATTTTTTTTATCTTTTCAAAAGGCAAACCTCATTTTGTTAATCCTTTGTAATTTTTTTAGTTTCAATTTTATTTCCTTCTGCTCTGATATTTATTGTTTCTTTTCGTCTACTAATTCTAGGTACGGATTGTTCTTGCTTTTTTAGTTATTTGAGATGCATTAATAGGTATTTGAAATCTTTCTACTTGTATGATATAGGTATTTATTGCTATAAACTATTGCCTTAATACTGCTTTGGCTATTTCCCATAAGTTTTGCTATATTGTATTTCTATTTTCATTTGCTTAATTAAATTTTTTTAATTTTCTTTTTAATTTCTTAATTGATCTGTTGGTCACTCAGGAGCATGTTGTTTAATTTCCATGTATTTGTAAAGTTTCAAAAGTTCTTGTTATTGATTTCTAGTTTTATCCCATTGTGTTCAGAAAAAAAAATTAACATGATTTAAATCCTTGTAAATTTATTGAGACTTATTTTGTGGCCTAATATGTGGTCTGTCCTGGAGAATGATACATGTGCTGATAAAAAGAATGTGTATTCTGCAGCTGTTGAATGCAGTGTTCTGTAAATGTCTGTTAGGTTCATTTGGCCTACAGTACAGTTTAAATCCAATGTTTCTTTTTATTTTTTCCTGTCTCAGTTTTATTTATACAAATAGCACAGGAGAACCCCAGCCCCATGCAGATGGCAGCCCAGGGAGTTGCACCAGTCCTTCTGTCCTCACATTGGCAGACAGAGATATCTACTCTGAAGCTTTTGTAGGGGCCTATGTACCTTTGGGAGCCTGAGCTGGAACTGAAGCTGGAGCTGCAGCCTGGGCCTTGGTTTGATCCTTGGTCTTGGCCTTGGCCTTGGCCTTTGGCCAGCAGAGCCTGAGCTGCTTGGTAATGCGGGCATGAGCATGCTTCCCGAGCTTGGGGTGGGCAATGTAGGCAGGACGATTGAGCTTGGGGCTGACACCCTTTGGGAACTTGGTCTTAACCTCCTTGGACTTTATGAGGACCTTGATAGCTTCGGCACGTGCACTCATGGCCTTGGCATTGTTGGCCTGCATCTTCGTTAGGCCCTTCTTGTTGTGCTTCTTGGCCCAGAGCATGTTCCTTAGGAACTTGGGGTCCACCCCCTTAAGAGATTCATATCTTTGTGATCGGGGTCTCTTGATATCATTTCTGTGCCATTTTCGGGACTGATTGTGTGTAGTGTGGTTCTTGGACTTGGCCATATCTGCACCTAAGCCATGGCTCCTGAAGCACCTAGAACTGGAAGAGACCATCCAATGTTTCTTTATTGATTTTCTGTCTGGATGATCTATTGATGTTCAGTGCTCACAGTGGGATGTTAAAGTCCCCAACTTTTATTATATCATAGTCTGGATCTCCCTTTAGTTCTAATATTTGCTTTATATATCTGGGTGCTCTTGTGTTGGGTAGATGTATATCTACAGTTGTTATATCTTCTTGCCGAATTAATCTTTTTTCATTATATAATAAACTTCTTTATCTCTTTTTACCATTTTGACTTAAAGTGTATATTATCTCAGATAAATATAGCTACTCCTGCTTGCTTTTGGTTTCTGTTTTTGCTTTTGTTTTTGAAATATCTTTTTCTATTCCTTTATTTTCAGTCCATATGTTTCTTTATAGGTGAAATGAGTTTCTTGTAGGTAGTATATAATTGGGTCATTTTTTAAAGTCTATTTACCCAGTCCACGCCTTTTAAGTGGAAGATTTAATTTATTTACATTCAAGATTAGTATTGATAGATGAGAAATTACTCCTGTCATTTTGTTAATTGTTTTCTGATTGTTTTATATATCCCTTTTTTCTTTCTTCTTATTTTTGTGTTTATCATTGTGGTTTTCTGGAATTATAAGGGTTTTCCTTCTCTTTATCCTTTGTTTATTTACTCTATCAGTGAGCTTTATACATCTGTATGTTTTCAAGACAGTGATATAATCTTTGACTTCAAATTGTAGTATTCCCTCAAGCATTTCTTGTAGGGCTGATCTAGTGATAATTAATTCCTTCAGGTTTTGCTTGTCTGGGAAATACTTTATTTCTCCCTCATTTCTGAAGGATAACTTTGCTAGGTTTCTTATATCTGCTTCTGCATTCAATATATTGTAATATGCTGATTTGGTTAAACTATATAAGGAGCATTCAGACTAACAGAAATAAGTATTTGGAAAAGGTAGGAGTATTTTTAATAACCTTTTCAAATAATTATGGCTATTCTTCGTTGATACTACACCAGAATTCTACAAGTGATAGTTTCGTAAAAGTTAATTGCAATGATCTGAAATCATATTAATGAACATTTTGTACTCTGTAACATTAAAATCAATTGGTCTTTCTTGCAATCAAATAGTATGATTTTGTAACATCATATATTGGTCATTTGGAATATATTGGTTCATTGAGTTAATTAATTCTTCCAAATGTGGACACATTTTACTTCAAAATATTAAAAAAGTGTCAATATCACCCCTAATCTCAGTAAGTGCTGAGAAACTGTCAAATTCACAGTGACAGACTTGAGTATCTAATTTTATCTTGAAAACCAAATTTTGTTTTGTTTTGTTTTTTAGGCTACAGTAACCAAAACAGCATGATACTGGTACCAAAACAGAGACATAGACCAATGGAACAGAACAGAGGCCCCAGAAGTAATGTCACACATCTACAACCATCTGATCTTTGACAAACCTGACAAAAACAAGAAATGGGGAAAGAATTCCCTATTTAATAAATGATGTTGGGAAAACTGGCTAGCCATATGCAGAAAGCTGAAATTGGACCACTTCCTTACACCTTATACTAAAATTAATTGTAGATGGATTAAAGATTTAAACACAAGACCCAACACCATAAAAACCCTAGAAGAAATCATAGGCAATACCATTCAAGACATAGGCATAGGCAAGGTTCTTCATGACTAAAACACCAAAAGCAATGGCAACAAAAGCCAAAATAGACAAATGGGATCTAATGAAACTTAAGAGCTTCTGCAAAGCAAAAGAAAGTATCGTTAGAGTGAACCAGCAACTAACAGAATGGGAAAAAGTTGTTGCAATCTACCCATCTGACAAAAGGCTAACATCCAGAATCTACAAAGAACTTAAACAAATTTACAAGAAAAAACAAACAATCCCATCAAAAAGTGGCCGAAGGATATGAACAGACACTTTTCAAAAGAAGACATCTATGCAGCTAACAAGCATATGAAAAAAAGCTCATCATCATTAGTCATTAGAAAAATGCAAATCAAAACCACATTGAGATACCATCTCATGCCAATTAGAAGGGCGATCATTAAAAAATCTGGAGACCACAGGCTGGGCCGTGGCTCATGCCTGTAATCCCAACACTTTGGGAGGCCAAGGCGGGCATATCATGAGGTCAAGAGATCGAGACCATCAACATGGTGAAATCCTGTCTCTACTAAAAATACAAAAATTAGCTGGGTGTGGTGCTACGTGCCTGTAGTACCAGCTACTTGGAAGTCTGAGGCAGGGCAATTGCTTGAACCCGGGAAGTGGAGGTTACAGCAAGTCGAGATCATGCCACTGCACTCTAGCCTGGTGACAGAGCAAGACTCTGTCACACACACAAAAAAAAAAATCTGGAGACAACAGATGCTGAAGAGGATGTGGAGAAGTGGGAACAGTTTTGCACAGTTGGTGGGAGTATAAATTAGTTCAACCATTGTGGAAGACAGTGTGGCAATCCCTCAAGGATTTAGAAATAGAAATACTGTTTGACCCAGCAATCCAATTACTGAGTATATACCCACAGGATTATAAATCGTTCTATTACAAAGACACATGCATATATATGTTCATTGTGGTACTTTTTACAATAGCAAGGACTTGGAACCAACCTAAATGCCCACCAACGATAGACTGGATTAAAAAAACGTGGCACATATACACCATGGAATACTATGCAGCCATAAAAAAGGATGAGTTCATGTCCTTTGCAGGGATATGGATGAATCTGGAAACCATCATTCTCAGCAAACTGACACAAGAACAGAAAACCAAACACCACATGTTCTCACTCATAAGTGGGTGTTGAAAAGTGAGAACACATGGACACAGGGAAGGGAGCATCACACACCGGAGCCTGTTGGGGGATGAAGGGGCTAGGGGAGGGAGAGCAGGAGGTGGGGGTATTGGATAGGGATGGCATTAAGAGAAATACCTAACGTAGATGATGGGGGTATGGATGCAGCAAACCATGGCGTGTGTATATATGTAACAATTCTGCACGATCTGCACATGTACCCCAGAACTTAAAGTATAATAATTTTTTAAAAAGAAAACAAAAATTTTATGATTGGCAAAAAACTGTCAGTTGTTTTTTTAAAAAACTGTAGGCTCCTAACATGCAAATAACATGTAGTGGGTGGAGGGAACATATAGCAACTTATATTATTATGAAAATAACCTTGACCTTGAGGATACCCTGAAAGGGTCTTGGGCAACCCAAGGAGTTTAAGGACTTACTTTGAAGCCCACGCTCTTAACTACTTTCGACATTTAAAAGCAGAGGGAAAAAAAAAAAAAAAAAACAGCAAAGAATAGACTAGCTAGAGAACTTACTATAATACCTATGTGGATCCAACTCCCACCAAATTATAAATTTACTTATCATTTCTATTCTTACTTGAAAACCTTTTCAAGGATGCAGTTTAATCCCTTAACTAAGAAAGTAGAATTACCTTTATTGGGCTTGCAACATCAGTTGGGCTTATGATATCAGGTACAAGGGCTAAGAGCTTCTTCTAGGATGTTCGATGTGAGCCATTTCCTGAGCAGCTTCTTACAGAAAAAGAACTTAGCAGACCTAACTTCTTACACAGCTTTTTGTGATAGTTAAGATTCTGCAATATCTATCTGAATCCCACTTAGACTCTTACAATCTGAAGCGAGTACACTAAATTCCACACCCTCAAGCTGGAGTTGCAACACTCTAATCCAATATTTTATGAGATTCTATAGCTCAAGTTCACTGATTCTAACGTGATTGTTCGGTGCTGACTTCCCATAGCATTCTTCCTCCAATGCTCAGTACTGACTAACTACCAAGTTAGCTATGTCCTTGTTTGTGTTTTTGTTTTTTTTTTTTTTTTTTTTTTTTTTTTTTTTTTTTTTTTTTTTTTTTTTTTTTTTTTTTTTTTTTTCATTTTTTCGCTCTTGCTACTTAGGCTGGAGTGCAATGGCGCGATCTCGGCTCACCGCAACCTCCGCCTCCTGGGTTCAGGCAATTCTCCTGCCTCAGCCTCCTGAGTAGCTGGGATTACAGGCACGCGCCACCATGCCCAGCTGATTTTTTGTATTTTTAGTAGAGACAGGGTTTCACCATGTTGACCAGGATGGTCTCGATCTCTTGACCTCGTGATCCACCCGCCTCGGCCTCCTAAAGTGCTGGGATTACAGGCGTGAGCCACCGCGCCCGGCCGTCCTTGTTTTTAACTAAAGTAAGTTATTTTTGCCTTGTTTCATGAAAGGTTTAAGAGGCATGGCATAGTGTTTATGCGTGCAGGTATCCAAGTCAAAAAGACACGAGTCTTAAGTTCAATCTTTCTGAGCCTCCTAATGAGGTTCCTTATACATCTTATATAGTTATTGTGGAAAAAAGTAAAAGACACCATTTATGGAAATGTTTAACATGCTATTAGAGCCAGAGTTGACCTTCAATAAATGTCATTTGTTTAGGTTTACAGAAGAAGATTAGATCATTAAATATGAACAAAAAGTTAAGATTAGAACCAAAGAAATTTTAATCCAGAAAAGACTTTTAAGACAATGGGGCAAGTAGAATACAGATGCAGAAGCCGTATGGTGCAGAGGACATGGCAATGGGCCACCAAGGTCCCACATCAGTAACCTGGAGCCCAGCGGCTGCCTTCAGGGGCAGCCCCTTGAGCAGCAGTTATCATTACAAGCAAAGGAGCAAAGGCAGGGAGAGCGTGCTGAAGCCAAAGGGAGCAGTCACAGTCACAATAGAAGAGGGACAACCAACAAGGGATGGGAGGTCGCAGTCAACCACAGATATCCAGGAAGGGTGAAGCTATGGAAATAAATACCCTGGCCTTCCTGTCTTATCTCCATCCCATCTCTGCCAGGACCTCCCATTTACTAGGAGCTAGGAATAAAGAAAACCCATTGACAATAAAGGTCATTCTCTCAGAGCACAGAGAAGAATGAAAAAGGACAGAAAGTGGACCTGGATGGG